CTCATTCCGTAGATCCATCCAGTAGCTAGTGAAGAAGAAGCTTAAAACTCCGCCATGGTCAAAGAGAAAGACCAAAACCCAAAAGACAAAAAACTCCTCGTCGGAATCTTATGGAGCTTCTCCACTGATCTCAAGCTCATTTTAATGGCGTTACTTGTTTTACTCACTTTAGCTACTCTCTTACCTTTCATACCTTCTTCATTCTCTCTCTCCACCTCAGATTTTCGTTTCTGCATCTCACGCTTCTCCTCCGCCGTTCCCGTCAACACAACCACCACCGTAGAAAACTCACCGGAGAATAAGACGACTCCGGAGTCAGATCGGGTTTTAGATAACGGCGTTATTAAACGGACGTTTACTGGTTACGGCACTGCAGCTTATAACTTCGTCTCTATGAGTGCTTACAGAGGCGGCGTTAACTCTTTCGCCGTTATCGGTTTATCGTCTAAACCACTCCACGTGTACGGTCACCCTTCTTACCGTTGTGAATGGGTCCCACTAAACCCGACCCAGAATCCGATTTCAACGGATGGGTTTAAAATCCTAACCGATTGGGGTTACGGACGGATCTACACTACAGTCGTCGTGAACTGCACTTTCTCATCAATCGCAGTCGCCGGAGGAAACCTAATCCTCCACGCAACCACCGGAGATTCAGATCGGAATCTAACCGATTCGATTCCGGTCTTAACGGAATCCCCAAACTCCGTCGATTTCGAGATCTACAATTCCACGAAGAAGAAGTACGATTATCTCTATTGCGGATCGTCTCTATACGGAAACCTAAGTCCGCAACGAGTTCGGGAATGGATCGCATACCACGTTAGATTCTTCGGCGAACGGTCGCATTTCGTGCTTCACGACGCCGGAGGGATTCACGAGGAAGTTTTCGAGGTTTTAAAGCCATGGATTGAGCTTGGGAGAGTGACGATACACGATATCAGAGACCAGGAGAGATTCGATGGGTATTATCATAATCAATTCATGGTTGTGAATGATTGTTTGCATAGGTATAGATTCATGTCGAAATGGATCTTCTTCTTCGATGTTGATGAGTTTATACATGTTCCTGGGAAGAAGACGATTGATTCGGTTATGGAATCTTTGGAGGAATATTCTCAGTTCACTATTGAGCAAATGCCTATGAGTAGTAAGATCTGTTACTCCGGCGATGGTCCGGCGAGAACTTACAGGTACGTAATACTATCAAAATGATAAAATCTGCTCGTGATTTTGTCGATTTTTCAATGATTGAAACTTTAATCAAAACCCATGTGTTGGGTAACTTTGAATAGAATCACGAGTTTTTGATTGGTTTTATTTTGAATATTTTGATGCAATAAGCATATGATTCTGTCAACACTTGGCCTGTAAAAGTCTTTGCCCATTAGGTATTAGTCTCCCATGTCGGTCCAGATCTTTGCTTCTCTTTCTCATGACATGATTTAAGTGAGAATTGTTCCAAAGATTCTAACTTTTGATTCCTTAGATTAGCTAAAGAATGTGTCAATTTTAAGATTGATTAGGTTAAATTCAATCCGGGCTTTCTTGTTTAATCAAAATAAAATTGAATTCTGATGCAACGGTTTTCGATTTAGGTTTAGTTCTTCGATTATTGCTTCGTAGTCAAATATGTTCTTTATTTTCACTTGTTAGTTAGATTGGATTGATTTATCAAGATTGAGCTTCCTTAATGGTTTGTGTTAGGAGAGAACATTTCGGTTGTCAGTTATTGGTTATCGATTTGGTTCTGTTCGGTTTATTAGATTTTTGGTGTGGTTAGTTCCCTTGTGTGAAAATGTACCACCTCTACTACTAGTTCATGTCATGGATTGAGACTGATTTGATCTCTAAATGGTTTTTTTTTTCTTTTCTAATGTTATTAGGAAATGGGGAATTGAGAAACTAGCATATAGAGATGTGAAGAAGGTTCCAAGACGGGATCGGAAATACGCTGTCCAGCCGGAAAATGTATTCGCGACGGGAGTCCACATGTCTCAGAATCTACAAGGGAGAACATACCACAAGGCAGAGAGCAAAATCCGTTACTTCCATTACCACGGTTCGATCTCTCAGCGCCGTGAGCCTTGCCGTCAACTTTTCAATGATTCTCGAGTTGTATTTGAGAACAATCCTTACGTGCTCGACACTACGATCCGCGATGTTGGTCTTGCTGTGAGGACGTTCGAGATGAGAACGATCGGTGACCGGTTGCTTAGGACACGGCAATGAAAAACATGAATAGTGATTGTATTCATATATCTTTAGAAAGAATTAGAAGTTATGAAGATGAGGCAGATGTTTAATTGCTTTTTAAGTTTATTTTTATTTGTTCTTGGGTAATTCTTTTATTGTATCATATTATTTGGGTATGGGTTCATAAATACAGTTTAGACTCTTGGTATATAGTATTTGTTTATTGATTATTTTAGGAAAAAGGTCTTGTTGAGTACTATATAACCTAGTGTGAATAATAATTATTAATAAATTAAACAAAAGAGTAAAGTTGTTAGCTTTTTTCTTTAAAGGAATTTATTCACTTTATCAGTTTACAAATGAAAAACCAATATACCTAAAATCAATCAATTGGAAACTTTTGAGCGTTAATTTGGATGAAGAAAAAACAAAACAAGATTAATATGGTTTGTACTATTACAAAAAGAAGATAATCGCTTTTGCTTTTGGAGGTTAGGAACGTGCGTTTAGGGTCTTTTGTTTTGACGATCACCGACTGGTCCCACATAAGGGAACACGTTTCGTGGTTGTTTAACTATCGCAAGTCGCAGAACGCTAGAAAGCGGTCGTTCGTTGCGCGCTAGATTACAAGTGTTGCATAATCATATGATTATTTTCCTGAATAAAATATACTACAATTTATATATTGCTTCTTATGTCGTGTTAAATCACCGAGATTTTACGTTTGAACCTACAAAATTATATTTCATAACGGATTCATTTTAAAATAGATCTAGATGGTAATCACTTTCGTTAGATTTTTTCTCCTCCACTTTTGTTAGGTACTTAGATATTTTTTTTTCATGATGGCATGAAAAAGGCTTGAAATTGATTACCATACGTTTAAAAAATTGATTACCATATTACACTTTGGGTGTTTGGAGCCGTAGTTAAAGTTGAAATACATCTCTACTTATTACGAATTCAAACATCGGCATATCTATAGAGAGCATATATAAAAGAAAATTACGGTAATAACCAATCACACCATCTCAAAACCAAGACAAAAGATTTTTTTTTTTCAAACAAACAACAAAGGATTTATTATTTAAAAAAAAAAAACCCGGTGCTATGTATTCTATTGGTTAACAAAAAAACCCTAAATCTAGTTGATGGGATTTGGCTAAATAAGAGATATTTGGTTAGATTTTG